TCAGCGTTTCATACCCATTTGCACGGTAGGGCTAATCAAAGCCAGTATTTTATATCGCATTCTTTATTGCAACTAATCAAAGCGGGGGACCGCAGTCACTGCGCAGCGAACCCTGTTAGGCATGTGGTGAGGGCAGAGGATTAATATAAATGATCATGCCAGCGTGTCTCACTGGGTAAGTTGCTCTGTTGAATTTTAGGCAATAGCGGGACATCAGAGATGTGATACGTGGGCTGTATAATCTGATGGAAAGCTATAACTGAATTATTTTAGCAATATATGATATATATCTCTGGTGATAGGCCTAACAAGCAGTTGCCCTCGTTTAGAGAAAACTGCCCTGTCTTTGGGTAGCTAATTGGTTCATTAAGCAAAAGCTTTGTGACCCTTGTTTTATTTCAGTGCAGATTCCCGTTTTTCCCCCTCCTACTCTCACAACACCTGCTGCTAATTCTTTTTCCAAGATCCTCGAGTACAGAACAGGAAGTTGTGATTTTACAGGTTCCATTCCCTACGGCCTGTGCTTAAGTCGAATCTGTAGGTATGTCGGAATTATAAAAAGTACATGATAATAAAGATTATACAGTAATAATAAAAGTAACTATATACGACCGATGAACTGCTGATGCCGCGCAATGTTGCGTGCGTTCGTTATTATCGGCCATTGAATTTTACCCGAATTTTTAATATAATCTTCTTTACCGAAGATGTTCTTCCTCGTCCACTTGACCCACCTGCCAACCACCTGTTGTTGTACAATGGAAATTCAGGACGGGGATACTCAATATGTATCTCACTGGATTACTGGTGCCTTTGAAAAGTGATTCCTGCCCCGGGATGAACTTTAATCCCTCTCAGTCTCTTGTTCTCGCTCACGGATTCTCTGCAAATCGTGCTGCCAGACCCGCGCACCATGTTTCACAGGGAATACGGAATTCCAAGGAGATTTCGAGCAAGTCAGCTTCAGATATTACCTTCATGAGCTTTATTACACCAAACTGTATGAATAATATATTTGAGCTGAAAATGCCAATTAGGATCATAAAGTAAGAACTGCGAGAACTTACCGCAGAACTATATAGTTAGCTAGCTGGGGCGCTTGTGGCCGCAGGGAGTTAATAACGCCGGTAGACTTCCAAAATATATAAAACAGGGTTTTATTAAACATATTGGCTATTTATCCATCCACTTTCAGCTTTGTAATTTGTCTAATAGTTAGTTGGGCTCGAAAAGGTCATTCAAAGTTATAAGGTCTTAAATTCAACACATGCATCAAATGATTTGCCAGTCTGCTGACTTCAGAGGCAAAATGATATATGCTATATACCGACTTAGGTGTTTCGCCAGGAGGCCTGCAAAAAATACAGAAGGAAATCATTTTAATAATTTATTTATGATTACTTACGGCATAAATGCTCCATTTCTGAGATACAATGTCGGCCCGGAGATGGGAGAAGCTTTTCTTGTTTTTTTGTAGCTGTGAGTCAGCCTGGGAGTCATAGACGACTGTGGGCTTTTCTACCAGGGGGTCCAAGGTGAGAGAGCCAAACTAGACATTCATTACAGTCTATGGCAAACTGAGCTACGAATTAAAAACCAGTAAATACATTTACTGTTAATTATTATTACACATTGATATGATTAACACAAGCCGCATTTTCAAATGTAACTTTACACTGTAATTTAATTTCATTAGCGGGCTAAGGCTCTGTGCCTGGGATCAGAAGGTTGCTGGTTCGAGCCCCGGCTTTGGTAGAACAGTCACGTCTGTGGGCCCTTAAGCAAGTTCCTTAAGCCCCAGCTCCCTGGGCAGCTGCCCCTTTACTGTGACCCTCGAACTTGGGGCATAACTTAATAGAGGGGTTGACAATCCTATCTGTCAAGGGCCAGTTTGATTGCAAGCGTTTGGGATAACCTATAGGTCAGCTGTTCAAACCCAGGTGTGAGGACTCTTCAGCCAATCAGTCCTCTATTTAGTAATGTAATTAGGGAATTCAGTGAAAAACCACCCCTGACTTAATATGTTCATGTAGTATTTCTATCTGACCAGTAGGGGGTGCAATTGCAGCCCCTGCACCCCTGGAAAAATCTAGGAGTACAAAGCTGAGACAAAAAAAACCTGTTCAGAATGTCCTAAGCACATTGTGCGGCTTCATGGCTGAGATCAATCCGGCAATAATCACCTCTAGGTCCACATAAAGTCGGCAACATTCCTGTTGCCGGGGAGTGGGATGAAGTGGATGAGTACTTACGGAAACACGTGCGCCACATGCACAGAGGTCAATGAGTAAGTTAGAGGAAGGCATGGACTGCGGGGTGATGTGAAGCGATGGGGGGGGGGGCACATGGGAATGCTCAGGAGGAAGCTGCTTCGGATCCTGTTAGCCTGAAAGCACTTTCATGCTCTTATGAATAGACGCCATAATCATTCTCGCTAAGACAGAGTGAATTATGGAAATTAGCGCGGGATGAATTCCGGAACAGTGGGAGTAACGCAGAGCCCTGACTGTGAGGCATGATGACCGCCATTAAACAGGAGCTCCTCTGTGATGCGTGCCCAGCCACACACCCCAGAACCCAGCCGGCCTCATTTAACCTTTCGGTGACCTGTCCCATCTAGTCAGGGGACTTCGAAATGCCTGGATGACACCTCCTTCCCTGGGGACCTGTCAGGCCTGGTGGCCCCGGATACTCAGAAAGACCATGCAGAGCAGTAGCCTGCGTGCAGATCCAACAGACAATGATCTGTGACCACACGTTCCAAGGCATCCTCCCGGCGCCTCTCCTTTTTAATCTCTTCTGGGAAACTCCCATAATTTGCATGGCCCTCAAACTTCATTACGAATAATCGTCGTCAACGGGTCCAGTAGCTTTGTATGTTTGTCTGACATTACCGAAGTTGCCAGATCGTCTACGACACACAACCTAGGCACACAGCCGACACACTGCATACAATTTCCACCCATCTGTCACCGCAACCTGACAACCCCCAACCTACCAACCCCCAGCTGAATGCTGAATGAATTAGCTGGCATCAAAATGTCAGGGTAGGACAGTGTTCCACCAAAAAAACAAACAAACACACCTGCAGATTTAAGCAGAAATGGACTGAACAGGTTCCATTTATATCTGCTAGTCAAACAGTACATCTGTTGTTCAATTATATATAAATGAATCTGGTTAATTGTTTGTTTGCTGGATTGTTTGTTTACTTATTCATTCCCCCTCCCAAAAAACTTCTTAATATATATTTATAAAGATTCGATAATTAGAGTAAAATAACCTGAAACATTTTAGCTAACGTTGTAAGGCTTCCATCCATGATGCATAACCTTTGAACCTGCACATGGTTGCGGAGAACCTGTAGCGCAAGGGGACAAGCCTGGTGGCACTCAGGACGCGATGCTGCCCCGTCGTAAAGCACACGCAGTCACACATTTCAGAAACAGCCGCCCTTTAAGCCGCACATTACTTAGACTGTGAGCGGAAGCCAGACCACACAGAGGACACCTGTGCAGACACAAGGAAGACCTTCAAGCTCCATCAATTCCGCACCGAAGGCTGTATTCAAACACAAAGACCCAACACGGTGACGTTTATACAGCCGGACCCAGATTACAAACAAGTTCTGTTCCCTAAGTCTGTCTTTAAGTCGAATTTGTAGTTAAGTCGAAAAAAGAATAATACAGTACATAATAATAATAAATATTATTATTATTATTATTATTATTAAACAGCAATAATAACGCGACACGTGGTACTGTACTGTACGTCAAGCCAGCAAACTGCCGTAGCCACACATTTTCACGAGCATCACTAAGTAGTGCGTGTGTTCGTTATTACGAACAATTGTATTTTTTTTTTTATATAATAGGCTTTATGGCAGTGCGTTCGTAAATACGAGTCGTTCGTAAGCCGGACGTTCTTAACCAGGGGACTGTACGTCAATCCTGTCTCCAGGAGTAATGATAGACAAATGATTCTTTACGAAATAACAGCCTATTCAGAAGGTGTGGGTGTTAGCAGAGGACCTTTCTGGATATATTTGCTAGAAGTACACTTATACAGGGACAATCGATGGCCTGAAGTCCTGCCTTGATGCAGAGCGAGCTAAAGGTCAGTGATAGTTAGGATTTGGTTTGATAAATTAGCAGCTTACGGTGGTTTACGGCGTTCAGCTTCAGCTGGCTGCATCGGTGGAGCCACCTCCGTTACGAAAGACGCGGAATCCACGTGGAGCCGCTGAGTGCCGCACGGCGTCACCGGATGGCGTTTTGACGAACCCCATGCCGCGCGATAGAGGTTGTACTCCAAGAATTTGCTTTACAAAACCAGGGGCTAGAAAAGCTTCTAACAACTGCTAAAAAAAATACCGAATACCATATTCCGTGAAATGAATTTCATAGTAAAGCATAAAAATAAAGTTAAATGTTAACAGTAATGTAGCTTGTATGTGTATCGCTCTTAGTAAAGTAGTACTATTAGTAACTAGTAGTATTAGAATGTTCTGCAGGGCCATGCACAGAAGGTGGAATCATTTTGAAAATATGTATTTAATAAGTGCCAATTTCATACCTGTTGGGTTTGAGTGGTGGCTGTTCTGAAGTTTTATTTTTCAGCAAGATTATTTTTCAGCGTCAGTCTTTTAAAAATATAAAGGCAAGACATTTCATTTAAGGACTGATTCTGAAAGATAAATACACTTTTAAGTTTTGAATTTACTTTCTTCAGCCTTCGAGAAACACTCAGGCACTTCTAAAACAGTTGGTCCTTGATGCCTAGCTTTGTTTCAAACTCGCCGCACTGGATATTGAAATGCAAATTGGGCAGTAAATCAAATTATTTGACATTTCACACATTTAATTACCTGCTCGGAGCAAGGGCCTGTGAATTCCCAATGCTTTGTTTCTCCTGTAGGTAATAATTGATTTCGTCACATCATGCAGCTATTGACTGTTTTTTTTTTTTTTGGTGGTCTTTGTGTTTAAATTCTGCCCTAGGGGGACCTTCTAGGTGGTCTTCATCTAACTACGACTGCTGCTGTAAGGACCACAAGGAGGACGGTGAGGGGGAAAGCGGCACCTCCGACAATGACCTCTCCAGTTCCAGCTCTGGGAGCCAATCAGAAGCCAGCTCGCCCCAGGGCACGGTGGTGTGTGGGCCAGTGAGTCGTCAATCTCACATACAGACCTTGGATAGGCCCACTAAGAGGGGGCAAGGCCCACCTACCCAGCAGTCCGAACGCTGCCGGAAGAGTGATCTGCTTCGCACCCTCACCTCCAGCTCCCGTGAGGCCAATGGCAGCCGCAGGAGGCCGGCCAAGGAGCGTCTGACCGTCGAGCAGGAGCTGGAGAAATGCATCCAGGACTTCCACAAGATCAAGATCCCGGAGCGCTTCCCCGAGCGGAAGACCATGTGGCAGTCGGACCTGCTGCGGAAGTACCGCCTCTGAGGTGTGTCCACGGCGCCCCTGCTGGATGCTGACAGACAGACAGGAGAAACAGGAAGTGGAAACGCCTCAGACAGGAAGTGGAAATGCTTAGAACAGGAAGCGGAGACGCTTAAAACAGGAAGTGGAAATGCTTAGAACAGAAAGTGGGAAAACACTTGCAGATTTAACCATGCGTATGTATGTTACTGACTCACATTCCCTTCATTTAAGGTGTATGTTAAATGGGGATTATCGAATGTTCAATTCGAAAAAACTACATTTTGTTCATCTTGAAATGACACTCACAGGGTATAGGATTCAAGATCAAAGTACAGTTCCTGAGGTCGGTATTATCGTGTAATTTTGAGTATGAGTAAAAGCCACAGTATATGTATGTGTGTTGACAAAGTCATTTTGTTTGGTACTGGTTTCTACTGCGAAATTCATATTGCCTGTTTGCCTCCTTATTTAAATACTGCCACATTTATAGTCATACGGTATAGATAGCTGTTTATGAAGTTATATAAGTGCCAGAAGACTTCGTGTTTGTAATTTACAATCCATATTCATTAAGGCGCATTTTGTGTCTGTATGACAAAGTATGCACTGATGTGAGCTGCTTATTATGGTTACAAAACCTATTTTATAATGTTTTATAATATAATATGAAGCATGCGTAACAAAGTTATAAAACAACGGTATAGGTGCCTATTTATGGAATGAAACGAGTGCCAAAGATTTCACAGATGTAATGTAATCTAAATTAATTAAATTCATAGGCATATGGCACAATATTTATATTAAAAGGTTTGTACCCATTTTAATATGCGTGACTTCTAACGAGAACAAAACCTGCTTTATCAGTACAAAAGATTTGAAGAACTTTTTTCAAACTCCCGTAGTGTAATTTTCACAGAACTTTTTTGCAAGTAATGCCAAATTATTTCAGGTGACAGCGAAAGCAAAATGTTTTGGAAGTGTTTCAGCCTCGCGATTCTGCGGTTTTATATCTTACACCAGTGCTTCTCTACTCACAGTTTTATTTACGAAGTTCTCTTTTCTTGTATTTCGATGGTTATATCTCTGACTTTTGGCAAGCTAATGACGAAGCCTTTTGCAAGAACAAAAAACCAACAAGAATGTATTTCTGAGAAAGTAATACAGTTCAGTTTGCCTAGATTTTGAAAAGTGTCCATGATGACTGCTAGGAACGTCTGTGTGTGTGTGTGTGTGTGTGTATGTATATATATATATAATTTTTTTTCTACAGCAGTATTTCATCCCACTAAAGTTTGGGGAACATTAGGAATGTGACCTTTAAAAGTAGAAATCCTCTCCATAAATAAAATGACAATTTTCTTCGTACTAGCTATCATTTGGTTTACCGTCATTCCAGTTTTGTAAAACAGGTTTTGTAACAAGAATACTTGTGCCGGAAAAGCACACGGACAAAAACAATACATATTTGTCATTCAAGATCATAATATGTCATACAATTAAGCACAACTTTTGTCGGTATGGTTTGTAACTTATAAACACAGAATCTTTTGGCACTCTTTTAACTCCATAAATATTCACATAAAAGTGGTCAAAATGAAATCAGCATCTTATAGGATCAATGTTTTTTTTTTTCCCTGACCTTCTAAATTCTAAAAATATTAGCTATGTTTACAGTCACTGCTATATCACTTCCTAGGCAGATATTCTGCTCTGAAGATGGATACTGGTTTTTAAAAGCAGTTTTTCTTTTAAAATGACATACTACCACAGCAGTGTTTTGTTATCTTAAAGCTACGTGATGTGTTTTAGCTGTTAGAAAGGCACATGCCATATGGCAGTTTGATTCGAATTTCTGCAAATATAAACCAAAAACATACCGAAAATGGATAACGATATTGGATTTATTTTTTTATTAAATAATTTTTCAGAGGCAGTGTGTAGCTCAGCAGGTTCGGGATCTCTGGACTTGCCCAGAGGGTTGTGGATTCTAATCCCACTGCTGGGAGAGTAAGCATATCACCTTTGGCCCTTGAGCAAGGCCCTTACCCTTAGCTCCTCTAGGGACACTGCCTGACCCTGCTCTTTGATCCTCACTTGTACGTCCCTTTGGACAAAAGCGCCTGCTGAATAAATTAAAATCATTGAAGTCAAGCGCTTCAGTAACTATGTGCGCATCGACAAGCTCTTGGTAGTTTTACTTACACAAAATTGTTCGTAGGGCAGCATGCAAAATGATTAGTTTACAAAAATAACCAATCAAATTGTAGAGGAGGTGGGTTGAATCAACTAGAGGAGGCAGGGCCAAGACATCTGATTGGCTGCTCCCGCCTCCTCCAGTTGCTTGGACCCACCTCATCTACAATCTGATTGGTTCTCTCTGAACCAATCATTTTTCCTTCTGCCCTCAGAACATTTTTCGCGTAAGTAAAACTCCCACGAGCTACAGGCCCGCAAACAAATTATTTTCTAGCGTTCTCCACATCTCTTTGACATTACCGAATAGTCTCATTCATCTTCTCATCTCTTTTTTCCTCCTGGTAACTTCTTAGTACTGCATTCCTGCCAGCACTAAGAGAAGGAATATTGTAAGTGGCACCGGTGGAATAATAACTAAATGAAACGAATGAACTGAATGTTGCTTACACTGTTCCCCCATTTGATGGAGAACAAGGAAAAACGATTAAAGCAGGATGAGACGTCACTGATTTTGTACATACTCTGCTGTCATACCTTACTTCCTGCTTGCACTGTAAAACGTAGTAGTTCACATTCGGGGTGGAAACAGCGCGTCGACTTTTCCGCATCATCAATCTATACGCGTAGCACATGTTTACATGTAGCATATGCCGGCAACTTCAATCTCTTTATTTCCCATCTGTGATTCCGGTAGCGGTAAACAGCAAATCGTGAAATTCATATGCCACATATTATGCTTTAGGAAATAAGGAGCTAAATATATCATATGGGAAAAGTGGCAGTTTTGGCAAAAGCAGGGTAAATGGCTGCGAAAAAACAACAACATGACATATATTAAACGTGTTTTTACGTCATATGTCAGACAGCAATGTATTTTAACATGAATCAAGTTTTTATGTAGAATGCTGAATGAAAGTATAAAAAAAGAAACAAATTTAAAATCAGAAATACCAAAAGTTTATTTTTCCTTGTATTTCTGTGCTCTGGTTGCGATACTGGTTGCGATCCGCATTACTGGAACACAGTACCTATTTGTTTTATTATGCATTACGTTTGTATTTTTATCGTATGCAAATAACTTCACCTTGTCTGTTGCTGACAGTAAATGATTTGAATTCCCAAGTAGGTTGAAAAAAACTCTTCTAATTAATATAGCAGTAATGATTTAACTCTTTTAGTGTTGATTTCATCAATGGATGGAATAAAGTGTTACGTTACAGAAGTTACCAGATCCACTTCATGCTAGCTAAAGTTTTCTTCATCAAAATCATACTGGGTCACTTTCAAATTTTAAACGTACGCAATACTTGATGTCCAGTGTTATACATTATATTTACTGTTTTCTTCTCTCCCACAAAGGTTGTACATAGCCTGCTCCAACTATACAGTATTTCCATATGAAAATGGAGACCATGTTACATTTGAGCCATAAATATGTATGTTCAACTTTGCAAAAGCACCAGATCACTCTCTTGTACTTGTAGGAATATGAAGGGGGAGGGACACACCTCTGTAAAATGGATTATTTAGAGGGAATGAAAATGACATTAAAAGTTCATTCACAAAAACTCATATACACAAAGTATGAATTTCGTCTGGTTCTGTAAAGACGTGTACTCTCATTGGAAAGAATGTCTCTGTGCAGTAGGAGGTCTTTACGTATACACATAAAAATATCGGAATGTACGATTGCAGATGAAAAATAAAAGTGTTTATTTAAACAAAATCTCTTTCTGTCATTAGTGTTATTAGGAACTGAGCAAAATCAAGATGCTTATGTGTTATTCAAACATGTTATTAATTAATGTGGTGTTGCTCAACCCAGTCCTTGGAGATCCCAGATAGTCCATGTTTTCGCTCCTTCTCAGTTCCCCAGCGCAACCGGAACCAGTCAGCCAATCAAGAACACCGAAAACCTGGGAGAGGCGTGTCATGGGCTGGGAGGGAGCAAAAATGTGGACTGTCTGGGGGGCCTTGAGGACTGGGTTGAGAAACACTCTAGTAATGCATTAATACATAACGAGATCCTGGACCATGTGGAAGATTCTCCAAGAAGTAAAGCCTCCAGCTCATTCAGGGATGAAGACGGCGAAAATCTATTTTGCACTTTGTTGAGACCAGTGGCCTGTACTACGAAGCGGGGTTACTGGCTTATCGGAGTATCTTGTCGGATTTAAGGTACCACAGTTTAAATGGACTTCATATTCGTTCACTTACATTTTGCCCAGGCTACCTTAAATCCAACAAGTTACCCCGATAAGCCAGTAATCCCGCTTCGTAGTACAGGCCACTGGTGATTGGAGAGGCCATGGAAGGTACTGCACTATTGCTGCATTCCCTTGGAGCTTGGAAATGGGAATTTTTATGTTCCTAGTCAGAAATTTCAACTGCAACACCCTGGGAAGTTGGAGCTCCGACTCGGAAAGTCGAGGGACCTCTGCAACCCCTACCTCACAATGCAAGATGGCTGCACCTTTTTTCAACAGAAGTGAAAGCTATAGTTCTATGTTAGTATTACTTATGCTCTATTATTTATTGTTTCATTAAATCGGTCATTCACACAGTACGGTCCAACCGCTATCTGTTGACTTGTTGCTACATTGTTTTTATGTGCAAAAAACTGCATAACGTGTTGTTACCAATTGGTATTGCTAACAATGGCTAATAATGAAACTGGCTAGAACTGGGGCCTGTCTCAAAAAGCAAGATTTCTTGCTTAGCGGGATAACTTGTGGGATTTAAGGTAGTCTGGGCAAAATGTAAGTGAATGAAGATAAAGGCCATTTAAACTGGGACACCTTAAATCAAGTCCCTGGTATTGCTAAATGGCTTTCCGACTTCTTGTGCCGGAACGCGGTTAACTCGGGTGTGACGTCATTCCCAGGTCCGACTTCCGATCTGCAAAATAAATGTAACGCAGCGTATATC